TTTTCTCCTCCGGGTTGATGGGGACATGGATAGCGAGCGGAATGTCTCGGAGTGGGCACTCTTCAAAGCTCTCCTTCGTGGGAAGAACTTCACAGCAGTCACGAAACGCAATGGAGTATTCCGTGCTTTGTTGCAGTTTTCCCCAGACTGGGTTATCTAAGTAAGTTTGTGTGTCTACTTGCAAGAAGTCAATCGTACACCCAAAGACCTTGAGGTCAGTGACAGAGGCAAGATAGTCCACCACGTGATCTTCGAGGTCCTCAAAACGATCAAATTTAGCAATGCGCATGGAGACGTGAACGACTGTACCAGACAGGGTAGTCAGTACTAGGTGAAACTCCATGACCGGCTCACATGCTCGGAGAGTGCTGACTTCAGAGAGGCTAGAGGACTCCATAGGTGGGCAACTAGGGAAGGTCGCTGGTTGAGCCGAAACCCCAACTATGACTTGCACGATTTGTACATGCTATTTGGCTTTCGCAGCACCCGCCAGAGGGACCTACCTTCTGTTACCGGTTTCTCATTGCTCACGGGTTGAGTTGTTTCTTGCGCGGAGTATCCCAGCCCCGGGCAAGTGCTAAGGCACGCACCCTCCTAAACCCTTCCCAAGTTAGCTTGTGGGCATCTATAGAGCTTTGATTTGGGGTACACTGGCGTCCCAGAGTTCCTTGGGGCAGTGAGACACCTGGGATGGTCCCGCTCGATTGTGCTGCATCCTACTGGTGTCCCTAGACATTCAGTAAGGCTGACCTGCGACACGTGTGCGCTGACTTGGCTTGAGTTGTGTCCTTAGTTCAAGCTAGACCTTCGGTGTGGTGTCCTCAGACATTACACTGTGGGGTCTTTTCGTTAGGTAGCCCAGTTGTCTCTCTCAAGTGGTATCCCCAGACACTGTTTGAGAATATTCGACTCTGTTGATACCCCGTTTTTAGGTCCTTACCTCCTTTATCAAACGAATGGCATGGGGGGTGGTGTATCCTCCTCGCCTGCGCAAGGGCTGGGGTAGGCCAAAAGGGGCACCTCCCCCTGGACAAGTGCTAAGGCACTCACCCAGGTCGGCTGCCTTGCTTGCGGTCCAACTTAGGTTACGGGAATTCGGTACGGAACTCTCCGTCAAAAGCATCAGAGTCAGGTTCCCCCTGTGGTAGGAGCTCCACCCAAGATGCTCTTTCAAAGTGTCGCACATCAGAAAGGCGTTGTGCTCTGCTTGTATGGTCCTATGGACCTCTCCCCAGTCCAGGGTGTGAAGCGCACCAACTGCTCACACCCGCAGAAGGCACGAATGCCTATGTCCTGGAGTTCTGTTGGGATCACCTCTCGAAGCGATATACAACTGAGGAACGCTTCTTTGCCAATTTGCCTCAGCCTTGGCGGTAGCCAGACGTCAGACATGGCCAGTTCTTGCAAAGGCAGAAGACGGTTGGCCTGTAGAAACAGGCCAGTGCAAGAGCACTTGTTGACATCAGTGCTCTGGTGCTTGTTCCCTCATGAATGCTGAGCAAAGTCACACTGGGGAGGCCCTGTGGGCGAGACTGGTTTTTGCTGTGGTTTTTTGACCCCAAACTGGCCCAGAAAAACTCACTTTTTTTCCATCCCTTGAAGGAGCAAAAAGTTGAGAAAACCAGTGAGATTTGAGAATTGCTGGGGAGAAAGCGTTTGGCGTGTATGATAACAATCAAGCTTACAGATGCATGGTCAGCTGCTTTTTTCAGCAGTCTGATTGCGGCCTTGCACGCTTGGTGCATGTTTGTTTGCTACAACGCTTGTGGTGGACATCCGCCATGAGTCGACCTAGCGCATTGAGTCTTCGTATTTTTTGGTCTTTCTTAGTTTTGGATGAGAGGACGCGAGTTGGGAACTTTTGGAGGAGATTTGGTGGGAAGACGAAGTGTCTGTTTGGTGTGAAAAGTGTGCAGGCGTCAGTGCTTGCGCTGCGACTTTCCCTTCCGCGTAAGCAGGGTTGTTAAAGTCCAATGGATGTTTGATGTTTATGTCGGATGTTCTCGCGAAGGTAAGCGCACCTCGGGAGCTGTTCATATCCCAAACGTTGCGCCAAATCTCCTCTATAGACAATCAGTGCGCGAAATCAAAAAGCAAGCAAACATGCTTCTTGTCTGTTTTCCGCCCTAGATGTGGCACAGGGGAGGCTGCCACTTGGCACCGGGTGGGCAGGGCAAGATTGGCTTTTAACATCACGTCGCCCCCAAAAGCACAAAGTTGAAGTTGGTTTCTTTCAGTTTGATCTGAAAATGAGATGTTCCAGGCTGTTCCAGGCGCGGTTGAATTTGCACGCTTGTCAATCGCAAGCGGAAAGGGTACCATTTGTGGAACAGTGGACGAAGGTTACGATTTAATTCCATCGACAGCTTTGCAGATCTTCCTGGCAGGTATTTGACGCATTTAACCTTGTAGAAGCAGTTCAAATTCTTCCCTTTTGCGCGCAGTTTTGCTCTGGCCTCAGCGCCATGCCAGAGCTGCAGAGTGTTTTTTCGCAGGCAGTTGGGGCTCATCCTATCTATGCCTCACAGTCATGCCAGACAGTCCATAGGGTGCTTTTCGCCGGTGGGTGGGCTTGAGCCTGGGCGACTGTTTCTATGAAGTGTCAGCGGTCGCTCCCAGGCCTGCAGAACCCATCTTTCGGGCGGCGACTGATGGGTCGGACTCTTGAAGTGTAGTTGCGCAAAGTTAACCTGCTAGGCCGCTAAATGCTAGGAAAGGCCTGAAAAGTGTGGGGTGAATCTAATGTGTAATTCGTTGAATTGCCGAGCATGTTGGACTTGCGCGGACGCTGCTCGGAGCGGAGTGGATGGGTTTGGACGGAAAACAACTGGCAGTCGATTAGACCGAAGAGGGAAAGGTAACGGGCCAACAAGTGGTGTATGAAGGCAAGGTCAAGACAGAGGAAAAAGACAGACAACAAACCAAGGACCCTTCTCTACAAATCCCCTGTGTCCACTCTTCCAAGGAACAGTATGGGACAGTCGGAATGGGACGCAGTAAGATTATATATAGAGAGAGAGATTCAGATATTATGCAGCAGTTCGATCGACGCTTGGTCGTCAGCTGCAGTTGTTTACAAAGATTTTCAAGGGCGTGATGTTGGATTTAAAGATGATGTAGCTTCCTGGTAGGGTTGATTTGAGTGATGTGATGTGGGCGTTTACAGGTTGGTTCCTGGAGTCGTGTTGGCTTGGCCTGAGTTGGTTGAATCTGGTGTCTTGAAGTGCAATGGTGATCATTTCACCTCCCGGACCTGGAGAAGGGTGTGGATCTTGCCGGCGCTTGATCCTTTCAGCCTGAATGGCTTGAGCTCCCTGGTTACTGCCTAACATGGGCCGTATCTGACAGAGTCCGCACGTTGCGCTATAAAGATACCATGCGGTTGGTTGGGAATATAGATGGCAAGATGGACGGCACGTGCCAAAGATGCATAAGGGGGTCAGCGGCGCCCAGGCATTAGCCCGACTTGTCCGGCGATGCCGTATGGTGTAGCTTATCGCCTCTAGCTTTAGCTACGGGGGTGCCCCCCCTACGGTGTTTTGTGAAATCGAGATTAAAAATTGTGCGCTCGCTTGCATTTCGAGCCGTTTTTTGTCCCTGGAGCGATTCCAAACATAGCAAAACGAGAAATGTAGCAAAATCCTTGAGCCTGGTGGGGGAGAGGCCTTTTTTAGGAATTCTGGGATGTTGAAAAACATGCAGATTGGACAAAAAATTTGGGAACTGGAAAGGAACTGGATTTGGGCCTTACAGGGGCAGTTTTGAAGCCTTTTTTTTGGTTTGCGCCTTGGCACCAAAAACTGCGCAATGGAATTAGTCCACCTGTCAGGACGTGGAGCTGGAAGATGAGAATGTGTTTGGTGATATGTCCGGGTGAACAGTGCTTGCGTCGGATGCACTGCTGCTGCTTTGTCTTCCATTGAAAGGGCGGACGCAACTTTACGAATATGTTTTGCAGAAAAGTGACTGGTGGCTTTGACAGGTTCCGAATCGGTTTTGCACGCCACTTCTGGTTTCAGAAGTTGCCTGTGCAGGGCTCAGACTTGGAAGCAGCGCAAAACTTCTGTTCAGAATCCGTTTTGCAAACCTGTCAGAGCCGTCCACTGTCTGTTTTTGAAAAGGGTGACTCCAGCTCCAGACATGAGGTGTAAAGCAGGTTTGAAGTCGCGCAAGAAGAGCAAACAGATTCTGACAAAGCGATGTAAAATCCAGAGTGACATTGGATCAGTGCTTTCGGGAAAAAGAAGTACAAGGTGGGAATTGGATGGCGTGACGAGAATGGCAAGCCGGAAAAACAAGAAAAATTGAAAAATGTTTCACTTGAAGAAACACACATTGCCTTTGTAAAATGACGTTGTACAATATACACCTCAAAAAATCGGAGACTAGACTCAGGTGTGCATGTGCAATGATGCTACCTAGCAATAATGGAGCCCGTTGCAATTTTGCTGAAATTGAAGTTGATCTTCAGTTTCATGTTGTTGCTGATTATACGGTTGATGTTGCTGTTGTTGTTTCTGATACAATCCTGGTTTGTGCCTTCCAACACATTTTTTGGTTCAGATGAGAGCAGTCATTCGGACTGACAAGCGCCAACACATGAATTGCTAGAGCCCTTGGTGCTCTTCGTGACTTTTGTTTAGGCTGCGAATATGTTTTAGATAAAGTTTCATAGTACCATCTCATTCGGGTTTTCGTGAGTTTCGCAGTTTTCAAGTGCTTGTGGTTTTGTGGATGAATTAGGGATCGACATGCATCATGTGGGAGGACCTATGCCAAACTCCAGTGTTGTGGTCTATGGTTGGCCAATTACCATGTAATTTTTTTGACATTTAGTTTTTCATTGATGCCACGTTCGCGTCCTGGCACCATTGCAAGTTTGTGAGATGGCAAAGTGCCACAACTTGGCCCCACATTTTTTCCTGTTTGTTCCTCAAAAACACTTCGAACGCATTGCAATTCATCTCCGGGGTCAATATTTTTTGGCTCATGCATCCTGCCAAGAGATGGTCCGGCAAGTTACACCGAGAGCAGCATGAGGCGGAGGGTTGTTGAAACAAATGCAATTTAGTGGAGTGTTCATGTGCATGTCCAAATCAGTTTTCCCGGATGCGAGGTAAGAGTGCACTTCAATATGGCCGGTCGGGTTCCAAAAAAGCGCCTGTCATCTTCTTTATGGGACAGCTTTGCAGTTCTTGATGATTCGAACCCATGACTTGCATTCAGGTGCGTCGTTCGAGATTAAATTGGAGGATCCTGAGGCTGAGTTGACCCAGGCAGGTAGAAAGGATGGATGTTTTTGGGCAATAGAGCAGTCCTTTTCGCAGGATCAAAAAGAAAAGGTCCTTGACAACTTTAAACTGCTCGACCAAAGCAAAAGTGGTCAGGATCTGAACATCTTTTGACTAGTTTGGTATGGAAACACAAAGATCGATGCTCAGGTCGGTTGAATCCACAGCAGGCTGGCCAGACCAATTCCGTGTTTCAGTGCTTGGAATTTCGATCTGCACAATGCCCAGGTCGGCATTCTATTCCGAGCATTTGGCCAAAATCCCACTGATGAGGTCCACTGTCCTTGGCAGCAGCTGCTTGGCAATGATTGCTGTGAACGTTTCTGCTCTGCAACAGGAACTTGCAGAAATGCTGAGACCTATTCCACAGTCAGGGTTGGACGTGTCTTGGCTCAAAACTGTTTGGCCAGCATTGCCTGGAGTGTGAGAATCGCTTCATTGCTGAGGTGGATGGTTTTATTCGCTTCTTTAAGGGAAATTACAGGCCATATGGGCCATGTGTCTAGCTGTCCTACGGGCACTTACTCACATTTTGAGAGGCCTCCAACAACTGAAGATACATTGTTGAAGGCCTTCCAGGCCAGGCATGCAATTTGACATCTTGATGTTCAATGCATGAGCCAGACGTTGCAAAACATTCGGAAGGTATTTGACTTGGAAGACACTGGAATTATGAGCCGCGACAAGTTCAAGGAACTTTTTCTTGTTTTTTTCACTTCTGGCATTGACAACTGGCCATGTGATAGCTTCAATCGTGTGTGTTCCCCTAGTCAGTGGTTAGACTAGTAACAGTCCACGCCCTTACTCGCACAAGTTTGGAGTCAATGTATCAACCGTGCCGATGCGTTCCACCTCTGAGTGGTTATTGTTGTCAGCATAGGAGATGCTCACATCCTTGGGTGATCCAATGCAAGATCATGAGGCTTTGCACCTTTTACTTTGAAGAGCTTTGGCTACAACAAGGTTACGCTACTAGGTGGAGGCCATCGCTATTAGGTTGGAGGCCATCTTGGCTTCCAAAAGGCAATACTTTGCAGGTCGAGGCAATCCTTAAAGAAGCTGAAGTCGATGACAAAGGCCAGTGGTGGCCAGATGGTCCTTATTTTTGGTGGCAAAGCCTGTTTGAGCAGTGGTGACATGGGTTTTGCTGTTGTACTTGTTATCATGGGTGATAGTGTGATGCCTATGGCTTTGTGGTTGCATGTTTGTCGTCACGGTTTAGACGTAGTTTTCACAGCAGTGACACGCAACTTTTGCACGTGCATCATTCTTTCAGTTGCAAAGCGAAACAGCTTTACAATTTGTGCTTATTATGCTAGTTATGCAATGCAAGACATTGGGCAGTGTCAACATTGTGTGCAGTTAATCTTCATGAAGGGCCGAGCAAACACTTGTTTTGAGTCTTGTAGTGCGGAGAGGCCTTTTCGATTACAAATCGCTGGCCAAGCGCCTTTGTGAAGGGCCAAAGCGTATACCGGACATGCCGTGAATTTGGAGCAATATAAAGGTTGCGAGAAATGTGGGGACAAAGCACGTCTCACTGTTTGGTGAAGACAAGGTCTAAACATGAAGAACTAGGGAATTTATATAACATATTATAACATCTGAACCTTGTTCAGTTGCAATCCTGTTGAACTCTGGGCAGGTTAAGCATTCTTGGCAAATTTCTAGCTATGTGCATGGAGCCATCCAAAATTGCAGGTGGCGTTGTGTTTCACCCCTGGAACTCAGCGTTAAAAAACGATGAAGAAAATGGAGCTTTGAAATTCTCTCGACTTTATGTTCTTTATGTTCAAAGCTTCACTGAACACATCACTAGTGTCTTCTGAATTCTGCATTCTTTGCAGCTTTGCTGTTTTGGCTGGTGCAAGCTGACCTTGCGAATAAGAATGGAGCAGTTACATGCAATCAGCTGCATCTACTTGGCAGCCTTGAGAAAAATGAGGTTGTTCTCGTTGGGATGTGCGAGATCCTATTTGAGTTTGAAGACCCAATAACTTGATAACAAAACCTGAAGCCTTGTGCCATATTCCTGAGCCTCGTGCCATGGGTGTTCCAGGCTTCTATCGTTGGGCTGTGAAGAGGGTGCCATACCTTCGTGCCAAAAGTTGTGGCTTACCATATGAATTTGACAATCTGCATCTTGCCGAAACGGACACGTTTGCTTCGAAAATTGAACGCCCAAAAGACATGTCTTTACTTGCACAATATCTATCCATTTTGTAAGGTACTTGGACTTCAATGGAGTCGTGCACACTTGTGTGAATGACTGGAGTCTCCAAGAGCAAGAAGAGTTCCTTTTCCGTCTCATTGAGGCGGAGAGAAAAACCAGTCCCTTCGGCGTCACAAGCTTCGGCCACACGTGGCCAGGCTCAATTGGCAGTCTTGCTGTCCATTGTCAACCCCAAGGTGTCGGACTCAGTGCAGTGCGAGGAAATTGGAATGACAGACGCCTTGGGATTCAACATGTTGGAGGAACCTCAGAAGTATCCCTGTGATTGGGTGTATAGTTGTCTTTACTTTGTTTTGCCTTCAAGTTCTTTTGTGTCAGTCTTGTGTCTTTAGGTTTTCGTGAGTTTGTGCAGGTGCTTCTCTACATTGCCCTTGATGGTGTTGCCCCTCGGGCCAAGATGAATCAGCAGAGGTCAAGGCAGCCTATACAAGCCACTTTTCCATGTAGCACAATTCCATGCAGCAAGAAGCTACTAGGTTGGAGGCCATCACTCTTAGGTCGGACCTGTGCACGGGGGGGCCCCCCTTCTGCAAGTAAAATGCAATCGCTAGTAGGTTGGAGGCCATCACTACTAGTAGCAAGAAGCTACTAGTCGAAGTACATCCTTGGTTTTCCCAAAAGGCTAGACATTTGTGATAAGCACAATGCCATGCAATTTTCGGATCTGTCCGCCTCCAGGCGCTTCCGCAAAGCTCAAGAGACCGATGCTGAAGATGGACTGACGGAAGCGGTCGAGCTCTTTGTTTGGACACCCAGGTGCTTTTATTCCCATCTTTGGTGGTGAGAGTTCGCTGGTTCAAAAAGCACAGCTAAGGATCGGAATGCTATCACTCCAGGGCCTATCCCTTGGTTGTCTTCGTCTTGCAGCAGTTCAAGTTGATACCAGCTCAGGACCCCTTTCATGCTGCGGTTGTCTGAGCGGCTTCGCAGTTGGGCGGAAGCACAGGCCAAGCAGTTGGAGTTGCTATACAACCAGCTCGGTTTACTAGGATGTACTTCTACTAGTAGCTTCTTGTCACTGGTAGTAATGGCCTCCAACCTACTAGCGATGGCCTCCAACCTAGTAGCTTCTTGCTACAAAATAGTCACTCCTTGCAGGCGGCAAACCCCGACTTGAAGGGCGTGACGATTGTCATATCTTGTGATCGCGATCCAGGTGCGGATTTTCGGCACATGCAGAGCACGAAATGCGTAGCACGTTACCGAGGCGAAGGCGAGCATAAGATCATGAATGTGATCCGTTCGCATCCGGAGCACACTCACTGCCTTTGCAGCAATGACGCAGTAGCTGGGACTGAAGTCGTGAGAAGCACTTGTAGAGCATGTCTTTCGACATGGCTAAGGACTTGGTCTTATTGGGGTTGGTTTGCCGATCTGAGCATGTATACTTGCTTCGCACGAAGCCAAACTATGAAAAGAGGGTTCGCCCGGACTCCGCTGCACAGGAGAGCGCCCGGATTCCGCGTGTCTACTTTTGTTTTTTCCGGCTCTGAAGTACTTTTTCATCATGGAGAAGAGTTTCATGTTCCGGCCATTTTGACCAAGTTTTATGGTCATAACATTTAGGCGCAATCGCATAGAATAGGTCTGTCCTAGGAAGAGTACTGAGAGCAAGACTGCACGAGCCTTTCGGTGCGTCAAACCTGTGCAGATGTCTGAAAGGGAGATGGATGCAGTCTAGAGTCTAGTGGTTTGATACGAGATGTCAGCAAATTGCTGTTCTAAACTAAACTGACTGTAATGCACTGTTGCTTCTGTTCCACAGGATTCCGACCAAAGAGAATTGCTCTTGGAGGGTGGCTCGCAGCCAGCAGTTGAGGCAGACATCGTCACAAAGTCCATGATTATTCGAAACAATTTTCCTAACACGATTCTTGTGATCACACCATTATGAGGACTACGAGATGCTCAGCATTGTGGCCTTACGTGCTTGGCTATGCAGCCAGTTCCCAGATTGCATACCGTCACATCCCTAGTTAGAGCTGCTGCCAGGATCAATTTCTTCCCTTTGCGTCAAGTGATTTCAACAGCGAAAGATCTTTCCGTCCAAGGCATCGCTTATTGGCAGACTTCGTGGCCATGTGCTGCTTGGTGGGCAATGATTTCTTGTAACTTGGCCAAGCTTATGGTGCGAAAGTGGAGCGAAGCATAGCGAAGCGCGTGGCACGCGGGGCTTGTGGGCTGATGTGGACAGATGTCCGCCCGACTTGGCGAAGGCCTCATATGGCTGCCTTGGATATCTATGATGGAGGCTTGGACAAGCTCTTGGCCGCGTACTACCAGCTGCGTCCTGCACAACATGGGTGACCTGACTGGGTATTTCCTGACTGTGTGACCTGCTTGTTTGGCATTTGCTTTTGACCGAATTTCTCCAAACCCTTTCATCAGGTATTTGACTCGAGAGGACTTGACTCTTGAGCTCCCCCGGTGGTCTGGCCTTTTGGAGCAGGTTGCCCAGGAGCCTTTGGAAGTTGTTTCGATTCTCTGATTCGAAGTGTGATGGAGACGAAGTAGGTACAGATTGAGGCAGAGCAGGCAGCAGGGTGGGTGTCCGGAGGATGAATGCGAACTCCTTTTAGACATGGTACATCTTGGCTTGGGGCCAAAGCAGCTTCATTACCGCGGGCCTGGCCCTCCACCTGCGGATTGGGATGGCCTGTCTGTGGTGGTCTGGTATGTTCCACGAAAGACCACAGAGGAGCAGCTGATGGTACTTGGCTGAGCTTGATTCTTTTTCTCAACCGAGGGACCGAAGTGTTCATCGATCCCAGGCAGCGATGTCAAAGCAAGGTTGTCAAGTTCGAAGTGTTCATCGACTGAAAGAATACAAAGGCACGCACGGCTGCGTAGAGTTGCTTTGCAGTCTGTACTTGCATGGCAAAATCGGCACTTAGGACCATTAGCATGAACAAATGATAAGTTTCCCACAAAATCTAGGAACCACATGAATAGCGTGAGCTATCCTGCGTCCAGTAGGTTTTAGCTTACTTAAGCTAGCCCTTACTTATTTCAGGAGCCACGGTCTACTTATAATTAAGTGAGGGCGAGCCTTCACAAGCAACTATTTCTTTGCGATCAGGAAGTTCTTGGTTGGTCCATTTCAGCGATGCCCAGTCAGCTGTTTGGCGCCCCGTTTGGCGGTCGCGCGGTGACTCCGTGTGACACTCCGTGTGACTCCACACATTTCGCTAAGGTGAATACGATTGTTTCAACTCGCCGCATAGAAGGCCGACGTTTGGAGGCAAGTTGACACCACAAGTGCTTGGCTACTTTGTTGAAATCAATCTTTTTCTTTTGAATTCTAGGTGGCATGGGCTAAGCCCAGCTCTTTGCAGTTGGAAGAGCTGCCTGAGCCTTCAACTGATCCCTTTCAGGCTCAACCCTTGCAAGTTTGTTTAGTGCTTGAGCATTCTTGTCCTTCTTTCAGGTGGCTGAGTGGCGTTCGGTACTTCACACCGTAGTGCGCGAGAGCTTTGAATACTGGCGGCTTGGCCATTTCTGTTTGGGATGGCCTCTACAAGCTTGCAGTTGATGTTTCCACTGTGAGGCTTGGTCCTGAAAATCTACCCAACGATGCCTTTCTTCGAAGACATGTGCGAAAGCGTCGAGAGTCTTGACTGATCAAGGCAAGGCCTGCTGCATTCGGTTTCGGAGTTTCCGGCAGTTTAGGCCTCCCGTGGTGCAACTCTTTCACTGAAAGTGGTCGAAGGGCTTAAGTTTTTTCTAAACATCTATATAATTATTAGTGCGAGCGCTATCCTGCGTCCATGTCTAGAAGCCAACTAGTAGCCACTAGCTTACTCCTCCCTAGGGACAGGGGGGAAGCGTGCTTTCAAGAAAACACTAGATGTTTATTTATTACTACAAGAAAGGAGCGGGCCATACAATAAAGGAAACATATATTTGTCATTGGAGAGAGGAGCGGGCATTTACTTTTTAGAAAGACATAGTCATTATTTGAAGGCCTTAAGATGTAGCTGTGGAAAGCCAAGGATCGCTTCGTGCCCCTGCGTGTCTTTGCCGCCTTTCGGCGCCTGAAGATTTGGATGCAAGACCTGACGCAATTGGCAGATGTGCCTGGGCAATGCGTTGAGCTTTTGTACCGGATTCCTAGTACTGTAACGTCCTTGCTCCTAGTAGTAAGGCCAGGAGCCCCTAGTAGCGTCCTTGCTCCTAGTAGCGATGCCCTTTGCTCATAGTAGCTTCTTGGATGCACAAGTTCACTTGCTCTTGCTTTGCGCTCTTGTGACACACGCCCTTTCGCAAGTTTGTGTCTACAGACGGTGCATTTGTTTTTGCTCACGGCCGGGTTAGCGACCCGATGGCAAAACACAATTTTCACATTCTTGCTTTCAACTGACGTCTACGCTATAAATGTGGTGGGGTGGTGTTGACGTCACTTGTACTTGCAGACGCTCTGATTGCTACGCCATGGATGGGGGTGGATCAAAAGAGGTAACTCCCTGGGAGGGGTGGTTTGCTTGGGGGCAATGTCCTGATCAACGCGTCGTTTCTGCATTTCCCTGCTTGGTCCTTATGCTGTCAATGCGCACAGAGTCGAGGAATTGGCTTCAACCCTGATGCTGTCCAGCTCAGGTGTTGCGATCTTCTGAGATCTTGGAGGTCATGGGTGAAGGCCGTGAGGCCATGGTCCGGGCGAAGGAGGACCACAGCCGAAAGCCTGAGGAGAGCAAAGAACAGGCATGGAGGGAGCAAAAGCCGGGGAAAAGCCAGAGACATGCTGGAGAACATGCATTATGCATGCTGGGGAAAGAGAGATTGGGAAGCCGCGTAGGTCCAGAGGCAGAACGATTGCTTGGAGCTGCTGGAAGCTGGCCGTAGTGTTGCTCGCAGTGCACTCGTGTGTAGACGGTGCAGAGCAAGTTTGCGAGTTTGCTGACTGAGGTTGAGGCTGTCCAGAAACTCCTTCCAGAGTATAATGCACGCTATTCAGGGCCAGTGGCGACTGGTTCACCTCCCGCAGAAGATGCAGCTGCAGTGCAGCCTGGAACCTATCAAACTGTGAGGTCTTTCTGCGAGCGACTGCTGGGTTTTCTGCCAGGCAGCACAGAAGCATGGCATTCCTGTCGGGCATCGAATGGGTGGCTTCCTCAACTTGTGAGCTTTCCTCCTGATTCCTTCGACCCACAAAGGAACCTGTCCAGCTTGTGGTCCGAGGTTTTGCATTATTATGTGGAAGGCTGCTCTTCCTGGTCATGGTCCCAATCTTAGAGAGATGTGGATCATGAATGATCATTTTGAATCATGAGGCATCAAAACAGGGGGGCATTTCTGGACTCCACAGGGCGTAGCCGGGCGGCTAAGCTGTGTATGTCGTCTATGCTGATGCCTTCGCCAGGTTTTATCCAGCACATTACCCGCCTTTGTGTGTGACTGGGCTGCACCGAGATTACTTGTGCCGTGAAAGCCCTGTTGGCACTGTTCAGAGGCGGGTCTGGCTAGTGTGCTTCTGCCTCAGAGCGTGTGTGTGTTTTCTTTTTTAATAACCCGACTTCAAGAGCACCTTTGTCCTGCTTGGAGACTCTTTCGACTTGTGACAAGATCCATTCACTGGAGACTCTTGTGACCAACACTTGTAAGATCTTGTAAGCCTTCGCTGACATCGGAGCCCATGGCTGCCCGCTGTCAGGACAGGAGCAATTCTGCGGCCGCCGCTTGATGCGTGGAGAGCTTGGAGAGCTTGGAGAGTGAAGACCAAGGCAAATCCTGTTCAGTACTCGGTACTTGAGAGAGGTTTGTCAAATAGCGGAGTCGCAGGTGTCGAACGAAACAAATGTTTCACAGCAGCCCAACACATTGCATCACCAATTGTATTACCATAAGTTTGGCCTGTTTTTTTGAAGAGAAACAGTTTGACAAAATGCATTTTGCTTGTCATTTCCTGAGGCCAGTGGCTCCGGAACTGCAGCTCTTAGCCGTCCTGCCAGCGCAGTCGGCGCCGCTGCTGCCGGCAGCTTTGCGTCCTTTGGTTGAGGCGACTTTCTCCAGTGACCAGCCAGATCACAAGTGACATGGTTTGTGTGGTTTGTGAGCTTTTCAACATGAGGATCCTGCATCACCAATCGCTGACTTCTATCCACGAGAGTTTGAGCTGGGATCTTAGTAGGAAGAAGGCAGAACCTGAGCACACCAAAAGCTCCTTGTGTGAAAGTGGACAGCATTAGCCTGAGCAAATGTTACCTGAAGCAGCATCAAAAGATATCGCCAGGGTTGACTTGAAAGAGGGTGACAAGGAGTGGCAGGCTCTCTGCTTCTTCTGGTCCAATATGCAGTGCGTGTTTCCCATTTTTACAATATTGTCAGGCTACAGTTTTGCTGCCGTTTGTTGATGAGACACGTCTCCAAAACGTTTGGCGCTCACTGCTTTGTGTGTCACACGGTTCCCTGCTGATCAGTGCCTTGAGTACAGAGTTTTCCTCCGAGCCAAGGCCTTGGCAAGTGTCCTCAGGGCCAAAGCCTTAGGAAGTGTATTAAAGACATAAGTTCGGCTATGCGGCTACTTGCCAAGGGTCTTGCCCTAGGAGGTGCCACTTTTATCATCGGAGTGTCTCGAGTCAGAGTGGCACTCTTATTTCTTTCCGAGGAGGGTGATCTCTCATCCTTCCGACCTGCACGAGGCAGTCGATTCGAGGTTTGGAAGCATGCGCATTTTTCCTGTTTGTTGGAGTCATCAAACTAACGGAAACTATATCACGGGTTTCAGCACCTCAGCGTGTTTTCAGTTGGTTCCATACTCGCTTTGAGCCCGCAGAGAGGAAGTGCAAGAATTCATAGATTTGGAATGTATACTGACTTGACAACAGTAGAGCATAGGTCTATTTATAGTATTTTTCAGAGTGTATAACTTACAACCTACTTTAGATCACAACACCTCATAAGTTTTTCCTCAAATCACGACTCCCTCTGGTAGGCAGGTGGTGTCCGCTCCTGGGATTTCATGGCGGAAGAGGAATTGCCACCAAGTCGAGCAAGAGCAACACTCAGCGATACGCAAGCAAACACTCTCTCGCTCTCTCTGATCATCATGTTGGCCCAGCTACACCATTCAACTAGCACTCGGTTTGACGAAAAAGTCATTGGATGTTTTGTTGGTGACTTCTGGTGATACAGCTTAGCCAAGGCCGGGACGAGTTTGGAGTCCCATCGCAGTTTTCAGAGGCACAGCTTTGTCACTACTAGCAATGGCCTCCAAAGGAATAGCGATGGCCTCCTCCTAGTAGCGATGCCCTCCAACCCAAAAGAAAAGACATTGCTCTCGATAGCATGCCAAAGACGGATTTTGTGCCATAGAAGTTCAGAGCTTGAAGGCGGCAGCAGCTATACTGCTTGCTGCCACTGAAAACATTGAGAGGGGTGGCAAAGGAGCCAAAGGTGCGGTGATTGGCTGTGTGATGATCACTTGCAGCCAAAGGATTTAGATTACTTGCAGGAAAAGGCCGCAAGGGCAGGCGTGACCGCATTGGCTTGAAACTGAGTTTACGAAAAAGTGTGAGCGGAGCAAAAGGGTCAGCCAAGACCGGGCTGCTGACTTCCCAGGCGATGGAAGTCTGCCTGAAGAGGCTGTTGCTGTGTGCAAAATGCCAAGCCTGCAGCAATCAAGTATGAAAATCAGGGAGAGGTCTCGGAGAGGTAACTTGCTATGGCTTTCTGAAACCTTCTGAAATAGGCTGTGAGCCAATCATTGATGCAGAATTGCACAAGCGGCCAGGCCAGTGCTCCCTCGCCCCAGGATGAGCACCTTGCCTGCAAGCTGCAGCTGTTTGACCATGAAGTTGGCTTGAAACGTGGAACAACTCTTTTTCAGTGAGGGAACTGAAAAGCAGTGATCGCCGTTGCCCCAGTGACCCAGCCCGGACACAAGCCAGAGATTCAGTAGTCGGTTTTCTGAAGAGCTGCAGACGAGGTCGAGATTGCCAGTGCGGCATTCTTTGATTTGTCAGCAGGGTGGCGTACTTTCAAGACCGGTTTGCCAAAATTGCATATCTCTTGAATTGGATAATCTGTTTCTTCAATTTTCTTCGGGAATCCCGGGGGAATTTCGAGATTTGCAGTTTGTGTACAGGGGCAACTGCAAGTCCATCTCCGATCACTGATGCCTCTCCACTTTTTGAGATGGTTGCTTGTGGCCCACTTTGGAAAGAATACATATATACATATGTATATATGTTATATGTAACAATCTTTCAGTCTTCGAGTGTGTCAGTGCTGTACAGTGGGGTAGAGGACTTTCCTCATTATATGGGATCAAAATAAGCAAACGTGCCAGTTAAATGCAGATTGACAGTGTAGAATGGGGTGACACATTCATGGATTCAAGCATTGATTTCTGCCAGCTTGGCTCAATTTTGATTTCTTGCCAGCTCTCTTGAACATTGACAAGCTTGTTCTTCGCTATTTGGAGTCCTTTTAGATTTTTTCTTGAGGACAGAGGTGATGAACTTTCGTCATTCTGCCAGTAGTCTGTGATGTGGCGCCTGAGACGCGCTACTGCAGCGCTAAGCCGTGGCCATGCCCATGCCCGGCTGCTGTCAACCGAGGTCCTTGTGTCGAAAGAGTGTCCAGGCTGACTGTCAGTTACAGTGAAAAGGCACAGGCTCCTCGACCGCGGGCCAGGTGGGGATTTGGTGTCTGAATTTTGTGGATCAAGTTTGCTGGATTTTTTAATTGTGTCTTGCTCGGTGGAGGCCGGTTGCCAAACAGAAGCAGATGGTGACGGCGGGAAAGGCGAGACTCGTGCAGGGTACGTTTATACAAGGAGTTGTACTTAGCTGCTAAAGAGGTGACAGGCACATTGAGGGTGTCCAGCTCTTCCTGTTCCGTTAGCTGCCCACTGAGATATGTCAATGTGACACAATGTCATCGGTCCGCGTGGCAGGTAATGGGAGTTGCGGCAGTTGGTGTGGGTGCAGCTTGATGCTCAGCACTTGAGATATCGTCGTGTCTTTCATTCTTATTTACCGTAGAGTTCCTCTGGTGTCAATCCGCTGAAAGAGCCATAAAGAAACATAGTCGGCGTTTTACGGCGTTTTACATATTTTTGTACTTGGATAATGTTCCGTGAGCTGCAAGCTGAAAAGGTGCATGATTGACCGCAGTATATGTATGCATGGGTATTTTTTCGTGTGTTGTACATATGCATGTATATACACCTATCTGGTTTAAAGGAGCCATTGCTTTTGCACTGAGTCTTTATGTGGAAGCCAGCAACTGCGAGATGACGTTCATCGGGTGCTTTTAAAAGCCAACGATGCCTTCGAGGATAAGAGCAGCAATATGTGGATCTACTTGTCCGCTAGAACAGGTAGGAGGTAGAGGAGGGGTAGCGAGGTAGTAAAGAGAAGCTACAAGTAATTAGCATCAACGCGGTGGATTCCTTGGCATAGTCAACACGGTTGCCGCTTTTGACCGAGAACTGACATCATTTGACAGGACTTCAATGATGTCTCTCGAGATTACTTTGAACGGATCGGAGATCGCTTTGTCTCGAGCAAGAAGGACAGCCAAGATCCGTCAGGATTGTCAAAGCAAGAACAACAAGTCCAAAGCTGGCAGCCAGCTGGCATCTGGTTTTTACCTTTTCCACGACAATCCATCGATTACGCAAACGTGGGTGAGTTGTCAAGGAGCCGTGGCTAGTGGACAAAGCAACTCTTCAGTATCCTGAGCACATACCAACCTTGGTTCTTGATGTCGACAAGGCTGGCAAATGAGCAGCATGTCTATGACATAATGAGTTTAGCGAATCTAGGAACCAAATCAGCGTGAGCTATCCTGCGTCCTGTTGGTAGTAGCTTACTTGCAGGTAGTAGCTACCTCTTCTACTAGCTACTGTACCTAGCTGCCTCGGCCTGCGCCCCAACAAAAAGCTACTACTAGCTACCTCTCCCTCAATTAAGTAGGCGGCTACTTAATTGCGTAGGCGGCTACCGGGGAGCGGGCAAAAAAAACTTGCATAGAGTTTAGAACAACTTCGGCTGATGTCACGTGATGCTCCAGACACAAAACATTGCAGTGTTTGTCAGGTGATATTGCATTTGCAACATGATAGCAAAAAGGCAAGCCGCAGTGCCGCTTTCTGCAGTATGCTACTTTTCCTGCACAAGTTCGATTCGGTTTGGACAGGGCTGGCAAGTGATCAAAAGACCATTTGCGGACAAGTTCTTCAAGGCTGTCCTTGTAATCTACCCTCAAGGTTTGCTTAGCACTTCTGAAAGGACCAACATTTTGAACCGGTCATGCTGTGCCCAGGAGATTCCTCACTACTACGAAGTGGTGCTTTTCTCTGACGACGTCTTTCCTGCCAAGAGCTCGGAGGGTTGCGAGCGGTGATCCAGAGAAGGGAAGTTGAAGGCACTTCCTACCATGCAAGCTTGAGACCATAGCTGCCATAGCTGCCAGGATCTACTTCTTTCTTGTTTGTCTTGTCCAAAAGCAAGTTTCAACAAATTCATGCCCGAGTTGACTCTCTCAGCTCCCACTTCCTTCAAGAAAAGCCACCGTTTCCTGCAGACGGGGTTGACAACGCGCCTAGGTTGCACTCGATATTGCTAGCAAATGGAACATTCCGGTGGTTGCCTGAGATGCTTTGCGTTCTGAAAGGATTCTTCTCCGAAATTGGTCATTTTTCCCGAGAGCGCCTGCGAAGGGTTTTTCGTTAAAAAGCATCTGCAGAACTACGTCTCATCTACATCTTCACATCTTCACCTCTGCACATCCACATTCTCACCTATCTCTCTGCTCATCTTCACATCTACATTCACAACTGCACATCTACATCTCTGCACATCTTCACATCCTCACATCGACATCTCTGCTCATCTTCATCTTCACACATCTACATCTCTGCTCATGTTCACATCTGCACATCTACATCTCTGCTCATCTTCACATCCTCACATCTACATCTCACATCTTTACCTCTCATCTACATCTCACATCTTCACCTCTCGCTCTTCTTAACTTTCTCTCTTAAGGCCGGGGGCAGTGCCGCCGGACCGCCACAAAACGCAACCCTCTGCGGAGATCGTGCGTGTCGGATGCCCTCTGCCGAGATCGTGCGTGTCGAGGGCGCGAAATGCAGGCGAGAGTGCGATTTGGTTTTGTCCGGCAACCCTCTGCGGAGATCGTGCGTGTCGAGGGCGCGAAGTGCAGGCGAGAGTGCGCTTTGGTTTTGTCCGGCAACCCTCTGCGGCGATCATGCGTGTCGAGTGCGCGAAATGCAGGCGAGAGTGCGATTTGGTTTTGTCGCGAGCAACCCTCTGCGGAGATCGTGCGTGTCGAGTGCGCGAAATGCAGGCGAGAGTGCGATGTGGGCTTGTCGCGGGCAACCCGCTGCGGAGATCGTGCGTGTCGACTTTGTAGTACAACTTTAGTGAGTGGAGCGATCTGTGGAGCTGGAAGCTGAGAGCTGGCGACTTTGTAGTACAACTTGAGTACGCGGAGTATCTGGTGAGCTGGAAGATGAGAACTGGCGACTTTCTAGTGCAACTTTAGTACGCGGAGCAATCTGTGGAGCTGGAAGCTGAGAACTGGCGACTTTGTAGTACAACTTGAGTACGCGGAGTATCTGGCGAGCTGGAAGATGAGAACTGGCGACTTTGTAGTACAACTTTTGTACGCGGAGTATCTGGGGAGCTGGAAGATGAGAACTGGCGACTTTGTAGTACAACTTTAGTATGCGGAGCAATCTGTGGAGCTGGAAGATGAGAACTGGCGACTTTGTAGTACAACTTGAGTACGCGGAGTATCTGGGGAGCTGGAAGATGAGAACTGGCGACTTTCTAGTACAACTTTAGTACGCGGAGCAATCTGTGGAGCGGGAAGCTGAGAACTGGCGACTTTGTAGTACAACTTTAGTACGAGGAGTATCTGGGGAGCTGGAAGATGAGAACTGGCGAAGTTGTAGTACAACTTTAGTACGAGGAGTATCTGGGGAGCTGGAAGATGAGAACTGGCGAAGTTGTAGTGCAACTTTAGTACGCGGAGTATCTGGCGAGCTGGAAGATGAGAACTGGCGACTTTGTAGTACAACTCTAGTACGCGGAGTATCTGGCGAGCTGGAAGATGAGAACTGGCGACTTTGTAGTACAACTTTAGTATGCGGAGCAATCTGTGGAGCTGGAAGCTGAGAACTGGCGACTTGTAGTACAACTTGAGTACGTGGAGTATCTGGGGAGCTGGAAGATAAGAACTGGCGACTTTCTAGTACAAGTTTAGTACGCGGAGTATCTGGGGAGCTGGAAGATGAGAACTGGCGACTTTGTAGTACAACTCTAGTACGCGGAGCAAGCTGTGGAGCTGGAAGCTGAGAACTTGCGACTTTGTAGTACAACTTTAGTACGCGGATGAGTCATCTCTCGCGGCTGAGTCATCTCTCGCGGCTGCTCTGGCGCCCCTGCAGCTGAGTCATGTCTCCCGACCACCCGGCTCTCTTGAGAGGTTGACAAATTTTAGTACCTTGCTTACTCGTAAGTGCCTGCCACAAAAGAGTCATCGTGGCGTTAGTATGTGTGTACTTCACCTTCATGACAAACGATGTTCGCTTGGAATACACGAGTCGCTTGTCATGATCGTGACGTCGCTTACTCTCAAGTGTGAAATGTACGTTCTTCAGTTCTAGTTGAACCTCTTCAGCGTTGTACTTGCACAACTAAGGTTGACGTTGCACTGCCGTTGCTCGACGCATCTACGTCTACACCCCCTCACCTCTCTATATTTACATCTTCACACGCTCACATCCACAGATCTACCTCTCCACCTCCATACATCTACAGACCTATATCGCACCTGCACATCACACTGTCACTCCTTCACATCCACCCTCTCTTTCTCTCTTTCTATACATTTTTTCGACAGTGCTGGACAATTACATGTCTCGCTCTCGGGCCAACCGTCGTCTAGTTTTTGATCAACTCCCTGGGAAGGTTACAGGTGTTTTGCACCGGGACTTCTGCAAGAAGCTCCTTGACTTCACTGATCCAGTTCACAAGCCAGAATGGATTTTCTACTTGATGCATTCCATGGTTGAACATTTTAATTCCTAAGGAAACGAAATCACTTTGTGAAGGAGACGTGCAGACAGCTTGACAATGATGGGTCCAGCCGAAAGAATTTGTTTCTTTGGCGACACCTTTCAGGACCTCTCAAAGCTGGGCAGAAAACTTGATCGGGTGCCGAACAGAGTATTCACTATGTTTCTTTTTGGCGCTTGCAATCACGAACGATAAAGCCGGTTTCCTTTGTGACTTTTTGTGGAGGTTCTAATGATTGATCACGATCCTGTTGCTTTCGAGCTACAGGTGCGCTGTGTCACTTCCAACCTAACAGGGAGAAGTGCGCTAGGATGGGAAGGGTTTGAAAAAGAAAGGACACATAGGAACAGCTAGACTTACAGTACAAGTCTTCGCCTTAAAATATCCAAAACGTATTTAGGGGCCAATGAGGCCGTGTGTAATGAACACAATTACCAATCTAGCGCAGGGTGCTGCACATCTTGGCTCTTATGTTTTTTATTCGGTTTATGCACGATCATGTCGAGTCACCGTGCCAGCCTGAGAATGGCATTCTTATTCGACCCTTTGATGGGGATCCCTCTGACACCGCCAGTTCCTCAGTTAACACCGCTGGAGATGACCGATGCAGAACTGGACAAGGTGACAAGGTAAATCCCCATGACAGTTCCTTTTCGTCACTGCAAGGGAGTAGTGTTCCATTCGCACATTTCAGGCAATGCACATCGAATGAATGAAAGAGCATTCTTGCTACTAGGGCATCGCTACTAGGAGCAAGGACGCTGCTAGGGGCTCCTGGCCTTACTACTAGCAACGATAAAGCTACTACTTTCTTTTTGGTGGCTGTTGAGATGTTGAGATTGTCAGATCTTCGGACGAGCCAAGGAGCTTGCTGACTTGCTGGAGTTCCTAAAGGCAGAGAATCGGCGTCGATGAGAATCGGAGAACCCTATCCAATGGATCTTTTTCTTGATTTTCTTCATTTGCCAAGGGAGTCGGAGTGCGGCTCTCCCTTTTTCAACAGGACTTTTTTGGAAGAACACAAAAACAATCCTCAAGCGGATGCCTTCTTCACTACGCCTTGCTACTATGCCAACCTTGGGAACAGACATCTCTGCCCCCTGCTCCTCTTACCTGGCAACCCTGACCTGAAAAGCCAAGGCTGCTGCTTCAACCCCGATGGATCTTCGGAAGTGCGGTTCTCGTGCAACACCAATGAGACCTTTCACTGGAGCCTTGTCGGAAAACACGTCTGCAAAGCTGGCCAGGTTCGTTCAGAAGTATGGTGGCGGAGATGAGGATGTCGGCAGGTACGTGGGGTGACATTCCACCTTTCAAGAGATCATTTCTTTGTGGAGTTCCTTCAGTTGCAATGCCCAGGCGCTATTTGCTAGAAAGGCAAGAGCAGGGCAAGCTGATTGAGAAGAAAAGGGTGCTTGGAAGGTGCTGGTTTGAATTGCCTTTTTCAGTGGTCAGAATATTATCGTTTGATCTATATTTGGGCTCCTAACCACCGAACTGTGCTTCCAGGGCCATTGGAGCTCGATCTGGCTTTGCACAGCCCGGACAGCCCGTGACCAAGCCTAGTGTGCTTGGAATTGAAGCATGGCAAAACTGGTGCAGAATGATAGGGCAGACGGTCCTAGTAAGGACGGGCAACTTTGGCATGCCACGATAGCTCTGGAGGCCAGGAGTATACAGTATGATACACTCAGTTCCTTTGGGGAGTGTGAAGGCCACACGTTGAACTTGGTGCACTGAACCCGTAGATTGTTCCATGTTTCGAAGATGTGGAAAGATGTGGCTAAAGAGCTACTTCTGGCACGTCACAGATTTGGCTTTGACGACCCCAGAGGGAACACACTTGTGTTCTTGTAGAGCTGCATCAGCTACCATGGAACTTTGGAGTCTTGCTCCAAGAAAGGTAGTTCTGCTGCAAGGTAAGCATGTCCTGAAGCTTTGAGAACATTTGTTTGGGTTTCCGGTGTCAAGCATGTTGAAGAGAGAGGCAGAACTGCTTGCTTGTCAACTCTGGAACAAGACGTTTCTTTGTGGCAAAGCAGCGGAAGCGCAAAACAACATCATGTCCAAATGAGGGAGTGCTCATGCAGTGTGCGAGGAAACACATCACACCTTGGCTCTAGCATCGATCCATTGGCTCTTGTTTTAACCCTCTGCGATGGCTCGACTTCGGAGGTAGAGGCGCTGGCCTAGTCGCGTAGTAGCCAAGATGGCTGAGAGGTATGCCATCTCCAAGGAGAAATTCTCAGATTTGTACCTTTCCAAGCATTAGCTGGTACTGGTAGAAGCTGACGGACTCAGCTGTCCAAGCTGTACTCAGCTGGCAGGAGCTGGCAATCGAGGGAGCCGCTGTGCCAGAACTTGTGAAACTGAAGCAAGATAGAGACAAAAAGTTGGCCGAGGACGAGTGGTTTGTTGCAGCCATGATAGAGGTTAGTGGCAACACTGCTGCTTTTCTGCCACCAAAACCTTGCAGGAGAAGAAGAACGCCCTTGCAGAGAAGCAAAAGGCAAGAGAGGCTCGGCAGCGGAGCGGATCCTGCTGGTCAACTCGGTGCAGTCTGTGGAACTTGGTGTTCGGCAGGAGGAGCGTGCCAAGCTCAAGGAGCGTACCGCTGCCTATGAGAAGGAGAGAGATATTACCCAGGCTTCCAGAGTAGATTTTGGTGTCTTAGACTTTCAAAGTCCCTCCAGGAGTACGCAGAAGGTGCTGCAGAGCTGGTGAAGCTGAGAAGAGAAGCGAAGGTGAACGGAAACTTCTTTGTGGAACCTGAGGCCTGCTAGGCTTTGCTAGATACATTTTTCTACTATCCTGCTAGGCTGCTAGGCCCTAGGCTCTGCTCAAGCTGTGAGGCAAAGCTCATCTTCGTGGTGCGCATTGCAGGTATCATGAAGATGAGCCCCAAGCCAAGGACCACACCTCAGTTTTCTGGCATGGGAACATGTTGGAAACATTGGGAGATGCTCTGAACAGGAAGGTTCTGCAGCTGCTGCGGCTAAAGCAGCTCCACAATGGCGTGTTTCTCAAGGCTTGGGCTCAAGATTTAGGACATACATACTATGACGTGTGCCCTTGAGTACGTCGCACTTCAAGAGCCGTGCATGGCACGTGTGCGTGCAAAAAGGTTTGAACAAGTTGAACAAGTCTAAAGTCAGTGTGTAGTTTATTCTTTTAATTCTTTGTGATGCCTTTTTGCTGGTTGCATCATGTGTCAGTCACCTAAAGAAGCAAAAACCCTTTGTGGACCAACCTACATGTCAGGTCAACAAGCCAATCTTGAACATGCTGAAGCTTGTGCAGCCTTATGTCACCTATGGCTATCCCTCCTTGAAGACAGTGAGGGAGTTGATCTACAAGCGTGGCTTTGGCAAGGTGGGACCTAATTAGCACCCTCCAAAGGACGTGTGTTTGTCACTCCTAATTTCAGGTCAGCAAGCAGCGAATTCCGCTGTCGTCCAACGATATCATCTCCGACGCTCTCGGAAAGCCACTTGGATAGCTTGATACAATGGGCAGGAAGAAATCAGGCATCCCATCAGACTGCGGAGGCTTTGTGGGTCGAGTGTGAGTAAACACGGGCAAAACTAGAGAACAGCGTTTTTTCAGAGTTGGTCTGTGGATCAAAATCCGACTCTAATGGCCCTAATGGACCGCTGAGAAGAGAATGAACTCCAGGACGATCAAACTAGGTTGGCTTTGTGGTTTTAGGCTTAGTCCACGTCCATTTTGTCAGTGCTTAATATAGCTGATTAAGCCCAAGGCACGGAATCCACGGCATGGAAGATATCATCCATGAGATCTACACCGTTGGGCCCAACTTCAAGCAGGTGCAAACTGTTGTGAAAACTCCATCATGCAAAAGTTTACCTAGACAAAACCCATAGTCATAGTCCAAAGGATGGCGAGTTGTTTCCATAGGATGTAGTCGCTTCAGGGCTTTAAACGAAATGCCAAGATGAGACAAGTGCACCCAAGACCTAGCAAGGAGTGTACCCAACACGGTTACAAACGTGCTAGACAAACATGTCTTTGTTGCAACCAATTGCCCCACTTGGTGCAGGTGTCCAACTTTTTGTGGCCCTTCAAGCTCTCCTCCCCGAAGGGCGGCTTCGTCAACAAACGTCTCGGCCTTGGATCTTCCATAAATTTGGAGGTAGCCTGAGATAGACTTGACTTGCGGAAATAGAACGTCTTGGGCTTAACTTGAGGCCATGGATTCTGTGAAGCTCGCGGTGGTGATTGGGGAAATCGTGAGGACTGGGGCTTCACCGAGGAAGACAAGGGAAAAAACAATCCATGAACATCTATCCTGTCAGTGGCTAGGAGCTCATCAATGAACTCCTTGGGCGAATGAACTAAGCGACGTGGCCGGCCAGCGGAAAAGGCTCTCAGCGTTGAACTGCAGACTGATACTCGAGACTCCAAAAGTTCATAAAGGTACAGTAACTCACTATTATTGCACGGTGTTTTGTTCGAGACTCATGGAGTTCACGCAAGGTGAACTGTGAGCCTTAACCTTAACACTTTGTTTGTGCAGTCACTACTGTGTGGCTCGAGTGTGTGGCCGTAGCAAAGATGGCTGATCGGTACCTCATCTCCAAGGACGAAACGATCCGACCGCACAAAAGATGGACAGCAATGGCAATCACCTTCAATTTACGACATTTGCTGGACAATTGAACCAAATGAATAGAGTGAGCTATCCAGCGTCCTAAGTAGTAGCTACTAAGCTACTAGCTACCTAGCTTCTACTAGCTACCCCTAGCGGCCTACCCTCCAAAAAAGCTTATTTTTCCATTTGTAAAGCTTTTTGGGTCAAAGGGGTGGGTTTGAGCTCTTTGGACCATGTAGGACACGGTCGTTGAAGGGGCTGCTGTGCCCGAGCTTGTCAAGCTGAAGCAGGAAAGAGACGCGAAGCTGGCCGAGGCCGACTGCGACTGACTCGATCAGGGTTTGGTTTCTTCCTTTCATTTTGACGCGTCATTCATCCATGAAATTTACCAAAGCTTCATTCAAGGAGAAGAAGAAAGCTCTGGAAGAGAAGCAGAAGACCAGAGAGGCCATTCGCCAGAGCCTTTTGAAATAAACTGCAGAAGATGTAGTGTATGGAGATCCGAATATGCTTGTATCACTTGTCCTGAGCCAATTGCTTCAAGAAATCTCGGTTCAAGAGCGCCAGCGCATGAGCTTCTGGCCTTACGCGCTCGAGTTCACCCGTGAACTCCGTTGGTTTTGGCCCTCGCATTCCTGCACTGGTTTGAGCCTGTCTGCCGTGGCCCTGCTCGGAATCTGCTGTTGTTTGGGCGGCTGCTGTTTGGGTGTGGCATTCACCCTCCTGGCTGTCTCTTCAGCCTGCAGACGTGCGGTGCAGCAGCTTGTTTGGGCTCTCATGTCAGGTGCTGCGACAACTCAGGCACCTGTGACAAGTCCGGCTCTCAGGAGACGGCTGGGTGAATACAGAAGTGGTGCATGAACACCCCCACGGACGTGGATTCACTGTCGCTCCAGCTCGGTGACCTCACGATCCACATCAGCAGATCTCCGGACCGCAGAGGCAGTCAACAACCCGAGACTGAAGGTGTTGCTCCGTCCAGTGCCGCTTCAGTTAGTGTGGTTTCAGAGTCCCCCTCACAGGGTGCCCTTGCTCGCCCCTCCGGGGGTACCCCAGCACTGCCAGTCGGTGCTCAGCAGGGCTATCGTCAGCGAGGATTCGCTCGGGACGACTGTTCAGGTGAGGCTTGGTCTTGGGAGTGGGAGGCTGCACTACTGGCTGCCAGGACACCCGCTGACTTCGAGCAGCTGGACCTGAGCCCCATCCGTGCCTTGGTTTCGCGATTGCGGGCTTGTGCAGGAGGGTGGACTCCGACTGCAAGGTTGGGTCGTGCTCTTCGGGCGGGTCTCATCGCCCGCTCAAAGATCGAGGACAGGCCGGGCATCTACGATTTGGGACCGGACATCCCTCTGGAGAACCGGTTCTACATCATCGCCAGGGGACACTCTGGCCGACCTGCAGGGTGGACCGACCATTACTCCACCTTCCTGGAAGAAGTTCGGGGGCTCCACTCCCGATTCCATCGTGACGTGGTGTGCCATTCCTTTGCCTCCAGGACGGAAGCAGAGGCCTACTGCATTGGTGCCGGGATCCCATGGCCCGGTCCTCTGCAGCGCAGACAATGACAGCAGATGGAGTGCGGGCCCTGTACGAGGCCCGCGAGCCCCGGTCGGGGCTCCCCTCTCTGTTTCTTCGAGTTCCAGAGGAAGGAGAGTCAGCTGCTTTGAGAGTTGTTGCAACCCTGGTCAAACTGAGAGCAGGAGGTTTTATGGTGGCCATCCCGGAGTGCGAGGAAGCGATTCATCTGCTACAGGCGCAAGAGCTGGACGATGGGGCAGAGGCGGTAGCACTCTTTCCTACTACAGTGGTCATGGAGACTACTCGTGGACGAGCGCTAGGAGAAGAGCAAGTGATTTTGGCCGACGTTGCATGGCCAACAGTGCATTTGTTTTCCAGAGCAAATCCCCTACGGTCGTCTTCTCTGCCAGAAGTGGTTCGCTTCCTTTGTGCTGGTCAACCTGCTCGGCCTCAGAAGGCCAGTTTGGAAGCAGCAGCAGAACAATGGATCCACGAGGCCATGGACGAAGATACAGCAGCGGACTACGTCACGGTGCAAGGAGACGAACAGGCGGTGGAGCCGGAGCTGGTGCCAGACGAAAGCTTGGTGGAGGATCTGCAGCAAAGGGTTCGAGACCTAGAGAATATGCTAGCTCAACAGTCTCGAGCCAGCGCACCGCAGGTGGCCCCAGGGAGCACTTCTCAACGTGTTCAACCTCGGGGAGTGCTGTTTGGAGATCAGACACCGGAGCCAGCCGACAAAGGCCAGACCTTGGCCACCCTGCGCCAGATGGCAGGGGCTGCGCCCAATCGTTTGGGCGCTCACGAGCGGGCTGTGAGAGAAGGGAGGCCGGAACAGTTCATCGAAAACTTGCAGCAGGAAGCCACCCTGGAAGCAGTAGCGCCTCCAGAACTGGAAGATGGGCTGGACGAGTTGGAAGCTCTCACCACCGATCCAATGCAGCGCATGCTAGTCCTGCAGATGAAGCACCTCCGACTGTTGTCGAAACAGCAAGCCGAGCGGAAGGTAGATCCTTTGCGCGCCGCATTGGGCGGTTCAGAGACAAGTTCGGGCGGCTCAGGCATAAAGGGGTGCCTCGCCCGAGATGCCTATGTGAGACTTGCCGCCGATGTGGCAAAAGTGGGAGGAGTGGTGCTCCAGAATGCTGCAGTCGAGCTTGGGCTGGATCCGCACCAAGTGGGTTCCGGCATGATGCGCGAGTATCTGGAGAAGAGGTGCCCGCTGGGAGACCATCGTTTGTTGACCCAAGTCGGTTACCTCTTTGCGGCGGCTTGGGAACATGGGTTCAAGACAAACAACCCGGATTTGCTGGGACATGCCTCTCGAGGCATGCTGTTCGTGGACCAGGCTGCAACCGACTTCGGGCGGACAAATCTGGCTTGGCTCCTAACATCATTGCCAGAGCCCCAGTACAGCATCACCCAGAGAAATCGCACTCGGAACTCGATCAGTCCGTTCACCCGCCTAGCTCATGCCTCATGGGTGGCAGCAAACGTCTCTTACATGAAGGACCTGGACTACCTAGAAGGTCGCATCAAGAGCACAAACACAAGCGCTGCTCCCAGTGGGAATGCCAAGACAGAGGCAGAGGATGGAGCAGCTGCGAAGAAGCAGCCCTGGAAGAAGAAGAAAGGGAAGCAGAAGGACGATGGCCCAACTGGGGCCCAGGAAAGCTAGCCCATATGCACCCTACTCCAAACTCTAGCGTGGATCCTTTGCTGCGTTTTTCTTCGTCAGGGCAGCAGGGTTGTCTCCCGCCTGCCTCTTGCGGTCGGGGTGAAGCGCTGGAGGAAAGGAGTCAAGGGGGTGATCGGGCAAAGATGAGCCGAGATGAGGCCCTCCCGAAGCCTGACTTTGGGCCTAGGGTTTAGGTGGTCGATTCACATCTGTCAGGCGATCACCTGCCTCAGAAAATTCAGTGCACTGAATTGGTGCGCGCAGTTTTGCAAGTGTGCAAGCTTCCGAGCGATTTTCAACGGTTCGCTCAACGAAGCCTCAAGGAATTCCGCAATGTTGAAGGTCCGTTTGAGAAAAGGACCGACCTTTGGCCCTGTCCCCCTCCGCGGTGGAGGCGTTGGACAGCCATGCATCAGCTTTCTCCAAGGAGGAGACGCCGGCATCGTTTCCTCGAGACCAGAGCTCTTTGCCTGCAGCAGTTGGTCTTGGCCCTCAATTGGCTTAGTTTGGGGCATGCGCGTTCGCCGCCGGACTACGCCCGTGCTGGGTACCCGATGAGCAACCAGCAGCACCTGATGCTGGAAAGGCTAGAGGACCTGGTCGACTACTATCTGGAGGCCCCTGAGGCTACCACTGAGAGTTTAGGCCGGGCTGGGGAGAAGCTGAATAATTTAGGCAGATTTGCCTTTTCATTGCATGACCCATCCACTGAAGTGACAGTTTCTGATCTGTCTAGTTTTTTAGAAAGCATTCAAAAGACTTTTGAGCCATACTCCCGTTCACGCAAAGTGCCTGAGAACACCTATGAGCCTCAGCCTAGCTGCACCAGTACAGACGGGGCGAGACCCCTGGTCCCTGAGACTCGGATCCATATGAGCTCGTCCACAGCAATGCCAGTGGTTGCTGACAGGATCAAGTGGAAACTTGCACCCTCGTTCAACCCTGCACCGTTTTTGACAGATCCCATCGTGAAGAGAGCTTTTTTTTGGATCCTAACTTCCTCCGACGTCCGGAGAAGGAGTGGCCAGTCTTGCCTCGTGCAAAGGTTCATGCAGACACTCACCAAGTTTTCAGCTTGGCCCAAAAGTGGGATGCTCTCGGAGCGTGTGCGTTGGTACCATGCAGCGAGGTAAAGTCCATCGAGACCGTGGGTATTTTCGCTGTCCCCAAAGATAGTGATTATGACCGTCTCATACTCAATCCCACAGTCATCAACAGCAGGAGTTTTGCCTATGCAGCATATACCAAAACCATCGCCCCCGGTTACCTGATGAGCTTGATCCGATTGAACGACGACGAGGATTTGTTGGTTTCTTCTGACGATTTGTGTGAGTTCTATTACACTTTCCAGGTAACTCCCCAACGTGCTCGTCGAAATGCAATTGGAGTCAAGTTCCGCGGTGCCGACTTCGAGGGTTTTAGATGCTACAATAGCAGTTTGCATTCTGAGGAAGTTTACATTTGTTTGAGTACACTTGCTATGGGCGATGCCCTCGCTGTTGAAATTGCCCAACAAAGTCACGTAAACGTTCTCAGAAAGCTGGCATCATGTATGAGGCCGGAAGAGTGTTTGCTTTACCGTCAACCAGTGCCCCGTGGACCCTTTTATGAACTCTTGACAATCGACGACCACATCGGCCTTCAACGAGTCAAGAAAGATGGTTCCCAGGTTGCTTCTCACAGCCGTGACCTCCAGGTGTTTTCAGCAGCCAACAATGCATACAAACATGTTAAGTTGACAGCACACCCGGGTAAGATGCGGAGAAGGGACAACCATGCAGTGGTCCTCGGAGCTGAGATTGATGGGTTGAAGGGCAGATGTTCGGCTCCAAGAGAACGTATTGCATTACTCAGCTATGTCACACGCATCGTGATTCACAAACAATTGGTGACAAGAAAGCTTTTGCAAGGGTTGCTTGGTTGTTGGACACATGTTCTTTTGTTCAGAAGGCCACTTTTCGCATTGCTTGATGCAGTGTATCATGAAGGTGAGAGCCTGCAATGTGACGTCGTCTTCAAACTTTCATCGAAGTGTTCCGAAGAGTTGACCATGTTGTGCCTCCTTGCACCAGCCATGCAAACTGACCTGCGCACTGCCATCGCGCCAGAGCTCTATATGCTGGACGCCTCCCCATTCGGTGGGGGCATATGCCATGTGCCTTTTGCTCCTATTGGCGCCGAGGAATTGTGGAGGCATACCGAACAACGGGGGTTCTATACCCGTCTACAGTCGAGTGCTGGAGCGACATTGCGTGAGTTAGGGTTGGAGCATGAAGAGTTTTTTGGTACAGACATTGAGCAAACTGGACCATTGCTTGAGCAGACTCCTGATGTTAAGGTAACACAGTTAGTCCACAAGCACTGCACCGACACCACCCAGATTTTCGATTGTCTTGAACTGTTTTCTGGCCAGGGTAATTGGAGTTCTTGCCACGCGGCAGTCGGGCTGAAGGTGCACCCTGGCATCGAACGTTCTGCGAAGGGTAGAGGGTTTGGGGATCTTGCCGATGATAAAACCTTTCGTGAACTGGCCAACCTTGCCTACCACGGGAGGGTGAAAGATTGGCACGCAGGGCCTCCATGTTGGTCCTTCGGTACGTTGCGCCGACCGCGACTTCGTTCGAAACAGGAACCCGCTGGCTTTTGCATAACCGACCCTCAGACCCGTGAGCAAACTATGTTGGCTGTCAGAACTGCATTCATCTTGACATTGGCCTGTTTAAGTGGCAGTTTCATTTCAGTTGAACAGCCGGGTAGCTCTGTGATGTTCCTTCTTCAGGCTTTCCAAAGGTTGTTGACTTTGGGCTGCAGGATTACAAAATTTTGTTTCTGCTCTTACGGTTCAGGTTTTATGAAACCCAGTAAATGGTTGCACAATAAGCCTTGGTACGACGTGCTGGCAGGTCGCTGTAATTGTGCTTTCAAAGACAATCATTTTACAGTGCAGGGAACTTTTACAAGCTCTGCAGCTAGAGTGTTTGATCGTCGGTGCAATCCCAGTGCGTTGGCAGTGTACGGGAAAACGCCCACCGTCGGCGAGGCCGTCAGTCGTTTTTCTGCCTCGTATCCGTTACCTCTCTGTCAGGTGATGGCCGCAGGCTGCAAGGCCGCGTTGAGCTCCGATTTACTCCCGAAGGCTAGCTCTTCCCGCTTGGCAGCTCATGAGCCTGACTGCAACAGTGAGGACGAAGGAAACGAGTCTTCTGTCCAGCGCAAGTGGTTCGAAGATCCAACCTGGGTTGAAGAGATTTGCGAAAGTTTACAATTTCAGGAACTGTTTAGGTACAGGTTCAAAAAGGGAGGTCACATCAATTGTCTTGAATGCCGGGTTTACAAAAGTTGGCTAAAGCATTGTGCAAAGAAGCATCCGCGCAGCCGCATTGTGAGTTTCCTGGACAGTCGGGTCACCATGGGAGCGGCAGCAAAGGGTCGAAGTTCTTCAAAGGCCTTGAGCCGAATTCTCAGAACGTCTTTAGGGTACATCATTGGGGGTTGCCTCTATCCTGGGTCGTTGCATTGCAGGTCAGCTTGGAACAGGGCAGATGGCCCTTCCCGGGATAAGAACGTACCCGGCCCTTCCATGCCTGTGCCCACTTGGTTGAAGACACTTGAACAAGGTGATACACGGCTGTTTGACCAGATGGTTGTCATCGCTCGTTGGACGAGGCCTGTCGGAAGATGGATTCGCTTGCTCTTGTTGTTGGCCGGTGATATCGAGCAGAATCCCGGCCCTAGAATGCAGCAGTCTGGAGCAAAGTCTTACACCCCACGTGGAGAACTTGACTTGCTTGGCGGGTTTGCAACAGCGACCAGTGCTAGAATGCGCAAGTGCTTTGAAGCTTTTCAAGTTTGGTGTGAGCAAGACGCGAATTTGAACTTTACGACAGTGTGCAGTTCCGCGGACTGTGCAAATCTTGCCTTGAAGGCCTACGGACTTGCATTATTTCGCGAGGGCAAGCCAAGATATCAGTTGGTATATGCTATTACAGCAATGCAAACCGTCTTTCCTGAGTTCAAGCGGCACCTGACTGGTGCCTGGCAGGTTGACCAAAAGTGGCAATTCGAGGAGCCGGGGCAATGCAGAGCAGTGTTGTCAGCGCCGGTTTTGCGTGCCATCATTGCAGTTGCACTACTTTGGGATTGGTACACATTTGCTGGTTCAGTTGCATTGGGTTTCGGTGGCATGCTCCACCCGAGTGAATTCTTGGCCCTTTCACGGCAAGACCTTGTGTTTCCAGAGGACGCCATGATGCAACAACAGTGCCTTTATGTGTTTATCAAGAATCCTAAAACGGCCCGCTTTGCAAGGCGTCAACATGCCCGTATTGACGACGTTAGCTTGGTTTTCTTGATACGCTGTTTGTTCGGACACTTGCCTTTGCGAGCAAAACTGTTTCCGGCCACTGTCGCTGTCTTTCGGCGACAGTGGAATGCACTTTTTGATCACATTGGCATCCCCAGGAGGCAGTCTGAACATGGAGCCACTCCCGGTGTGCTCAGGGGGAGTGGTGCGACACATGAGTATCTTGAGACGGCCAACATAGCCCAGATACAGTGGAAGGGAAGATGGAGCCGCATCCGCACTTTAGAACATTACATTCAAGAAGTGGCGGCCCAACTTTTCTTGTTCAGCCTGACAGATGAAACTCGTCGACGTGTAGCGTTTTTGAGTTCACAGTTGGGTGTGTTGCTTCAGCAGTTGTTCCCAAGTCAATTTGAGCAATTTGCAAAGCAGAAATAAAGGAGTGGAATGAGAGCTGTCGATCGATCTTTACTGGCCTTGCATGTTACATTGTTGTG